AAATCTAAATTGTATGCATATTTCTTCCAGCTGGAATTCATTTTATCTTTAACTGTAACGACTTCTTCGTCTTCAATTTTTGATGTTAATTTTTCATCTTTTTTAATATTGTTACGTGACTATAACTGGAGTACTTTGGGGTAATTAGAGACACTCTTTGAAATTTTCATCCTTTTTCTGCTATTTCTTGGCCGTTTTCGGTCGGAAAAACTTGCTATTGAACACGGTGGTAGACCGGACATTTTTCTACAAGCTCATGTAAAAATCTTTTGAAAATCTTCGGCTAATTTTGAGCCAGATCCAAAATACGAAGTGATCCATCAAAGTGTCTCTAATTACTCCGTCCGGGGCAATTAGAGACACTTCACTTGTACGCTTGGGGTAAATAGAGACACTCTATTCAAATACATGGGGTTTTAATGTACAATTGCTGGTGAATTAAGCTTAGGAGATAATTAGTTCAAAAATAGCTCATTTTGTAGCCCGAATCTTCGTCTCTCTATCATACAGTTTTGAGCTCATTATCATTTAAACTTATTATAACACGAATGAATAAAGCGATAGGTTTTGCTTTGTGTTGCTTGTTCTTTTATGCACTCTAATAATTATGGTTAATTAATTAGGAAACATTTAGACTTATGAAATAAAATTTGCGATTTTCTCTTAAAAACTTGCAAGCTCCGTTTGCTTGCAAAACGAAAAAATTCTGATCACTTTTTTTCTTGCAAAATTTGCACCCGTTTTCTGTTTTTTTCCTCTATGTATCATTTCACCAGCTAACTTTTATTTATCTATTCAGATTGTTATGAGGCTATAAATTATCATATGTTTTCTTAAATGAGTTGCATACAGGCAGTTGAAAAAGAAGTCAAAATGCGTCCGCATTTATTCTTGTTATCATGCAATAAAGTTTCTACACAATTTTATGTTAGCCAACAGAACAATCATCAAGAATTGAGCACCGCGGCAATAAAAGATCGATATGAGACCATTTGCGTGACAGTACAAAACCTTTTCTGAACAGAGAACCACAGTAGATTCGTACGAAAGCTTAAAAGGATTCGGAAATAGTTGGAAAATTCCAACTCGTTTTTAAGTTCTGTAAAAGAATCATTTTTTTACATAATGACATCAAAAGTTCGCGTTCTACTATTTTGCCGATCAGTTTTAATTGAAACAGTGAATACTTAACATTTTTGCAGGATTTTGTTAGTTTTTTGCATGGTGCATAATACATCTGCTTGGTATTATATGAGAGTGGACTCTTCAAGTTCTTAGCGAGCGAGTTAAGATCTATTCTAGTCCAGTTGAATTCCTAGGAGTATGAGCTAACATATCATTGAAATGTTCATAAGATTTCCATTTGTTTAAGTTTTCCCACATCATCTTGCTAGTCTAAGCCAAATTTTGGGAGCATCTTTTATAATATTCCAGTAGTTCAAGATACGTTAAATAAAATCTTATACATTAATAGAAGGCTCAAAAGGATACAAATAATAAACCGAATACTCAATAATTTATTCTAGTTTCAACAAAATGGCTATGTTGTTGTTGAAAACTTATTAACAACTGATGAATGCCAGTGTTTGAAAACAACAATCGAAAAATTCATCCAGGATTGGAAACCAGAAGACTCTTGTATTTTTTCTACGAAAGATAATAAAGAACAAGTAATGTGTCGATGTAAAGCTATAAATTAACACTTGATCTTTCTATTTTTGTCTTTTATTTCTATAGTCCAACAGTCGATATTTTCTTGATAGTAGCGATAAAATAAGTTTTTTTCTTGAAAAAGATGCAACAGATGAATCCGGTGAGTAGTTAGTTCAGTATGATAGTGAAAACTCTTGATAGTTTGTTGCATGCATTTAGGAAATTTAATTTTTCCAAAAGAACGTAGTGTAAATAAAATTGGACATGCACTTCATGTTCTGGATCCAAATTTTAAGAGAATAACATTTTCAGACAAAATTAAGGTAAGCGTTTTATTTAATTACACATAGATATTATACGGTGATACTTGTCGCTCGTTTTTCAGACTATATTACACGATCTAGAATATAAGAAGCCGGCTATCTGCCAATCAATGTATATCTTCAAACAACCATATATAGGTGCTAAAGGTAAATAGTTTTGTTTATGCATTCGTCATGATGCAGAGTATAATTAAATGTTTGTTTAATCTCAGTTGGACCACATCAAGACGGAACATTTCTCTTTAATGAGCCATTAAATATAATGGGAGTATGGATTGCATTGGAAGATGCAACACTTGAAAATGGTTGTCTCTCATTTATTCCAAAATCGCATACGCGTAATTATGTAACTCTATCTTACACACAGACGCATGAGAATAATACATGTTTTCTAGAACCAATTGAAAGACGATTTATTCGAAATCCAAATAAAGAAGAATTTGATAACGGAAATCTGCTTATGTTCACTGGACCAGAAAGTCAACCTGAAGAAAGTGAATTTGTCCTATGTCCAATTAAGGCCGGCGATGCAATTTTAATACATGGACAAGTCGTTCATAAAAGTGAACAAAATACATCGCCAATAACGAGACAAATTTATACATTTCATGTTATTGAAACAAATAATTCAACATATAGCAAAGAAAATTGGTAAGATAATCTTGAATTTACTGCCGCGAGAAGAAGGAGCTACAGGAACTTTGTCGAAAAATAGTAAAATCGCTGCTAACCTAGCAGAAAAACATTTTGTACATTTTTTACAAGTTCAACTCACAAAGATATTCACATTAGAAACACGGAAAGTTTTTTCATCTTAATCTACATAATCCAAATGATTCTTAAAAGAGATAATTTTCAAAAACACTAAAACAGATGTAATACATAGTCGATGAACCTATGATTACAAATAGTTTTTCAGCAGTATTATTCCTGGCCGTAATATTTCCTTAATTGAAAGTAAGGAAAAAAATACTTCAATTGGCAAGTTTTTTATTTATGTTATAGGTTACAATCTTGCAAACCGTTTCCATTAGTTTTCGATAACTAGTATGTGTGCCATTTGTGGTTAATATCCTGATTATTAATTTGTACAAATAAAATGACTAATAAACGTGCCTATCGTCAATCAACTGTATAATGTATACAAGCTATTCAGTTGAAAGATAACAATGCTTTCGACATTCCTAAGAGCTTAAAAAAAGAGCGAAACGGGTTTTCTGACTCCGTAGGAATATCCGATACGGAATCCGATATCTGTACCAAAAATATATTTTTTGTAAAAATGTAGAAATACGCAAGGTACTCTCTAAAAACAAAAGAACCAAAAAAGACTATTTCCATGCCAGGGTATCCTTTTTGGAATGCAGGGGTAACAAATGCAGATACTCTTTTTTTTGGTTCTGTGGAATTAGAAATACCCTTAACCGTCCATGGACGCCTCCCGTAACTATACCCGTTCCTCACTAGAGAAGTACGGTTATACAGAAAAATGAATCCGTATCTGTCGACAGACGTTCCGTGCTCATACTCGTTTACCTCTTTTCATATTACTTTTAACGATTATTCAAAAAAAATATGTTTTACTATGTTTGTTCACATGTTACTATTACTTTATTTGATATCTGTTGGTAAGCTGAAAGTTTTATTTAGTATAAGAATAGTTAAACGTACAAATACAGGAATATATTCTGGCATTTCTAGAGAAAAAAAATGCTCTCAACATTTGTCGAAAACCAGCACAACCAAAACATCTAATACGCCAGAATACGAGTTAAAACTATTCATTCTAACCAGCGTCATTCAAAAAATCCTCGGCACCGGTATCTGCGCATTTTCCTACCTTCGGCATAGTAGAACGACTTACTCTGATACAACCTCGAGGAACAAACAATAAACAAGACTCAATCTAGACAGCATCGAACAAAAATCTATTGAAAAGAAAACGAAAAAACATGCTATCAGCACGAATATCAACTGATCCGATTTGATCCGATTATTACTGGACTAGCTAAGCTCAATATCAGAATTTCATAACCATGTATATACTTGTGAGCCGGTCGGAAAATCGATGGTGGTGTGTAACAAAAGTTTTCCGATCGATGGCGGCGGCGGAGGCCCCTCAAAAGATTTTCCGCCTTCAGCGGCGGCGGATAAAACATTTTTGTAAATTTAAATTGGATTAAGACTAATTAGAATTCTCATTTTATATAGATAATGCCTATGTAGATGGCACAGGCGTATTAAAGCAGTGTTTTTTTTCCCATTTAGCAATGAGCCATATTCACGAACTGAAGAGAGACCTCTCTCTAGCCGTCAACGCTTATAAACTGGCCGAAATAATGCATATGACCATTAGATGTAGCTTCCTCCTCATGTTGTGAATGTGCTACATTATAAAAAAATTCCAGTGCGACACTGGTAAAAATCAGTGCGCATCGGTGCGCATGCCATGCCATCGGTCACTGGCACTGGCTGGTATCGGTGGGCACCCGTGCCGACTGGCATGCGTGCGCACCAGTGACGATGTATTTCTGCCGAAAGAGTGCCGCACTGATAATTTATTTAATAAATTTAATCAGTATTTTATTATGGTTGTTTATGCTGAATTTTGTATTAGAATGCGGCACTGATCAGTACCACATCGGCATGCCAAAACCATGCGGTATTGCCCCGGCACTTCTCTTATGAGAAGGAAAAGATGAAGTCAGACCGACATTCGAAATATTAGAAGTAGGCTGTGGTGTTAATATAGACAGAAACTGACAAAACAAAATGGTGATTGAAAACTAAACTTCGCCATTGGTGCGCACCGGTGCGAGATTTTTCATTCTTTCTGGCACTGGTGTGCATCGGTGCCCAGAAAAAAAATGATTTCGCACCGGTGCGCACCCGTGCACAACCAGTGCCGATAAAATACTTTTATGTAGGATAATTACAATATAACTCTCTGTTTTTTCTGATCTCTCATGACTTCTTTATTTCAAACTTTTTCTACCAACAGAGGATAAAACAAGTTTGTATTTTTAGCATCCGCGGCGGCGACAGTAGTGCCGCAGCGCACAGGTCTAACCATGTATTCCTACCTTAACCATTGCAAAAAACATTACCATTGCTTTATAAAACGAAAGATAAACTATCTTTATTCCTATCGTCAATATTAAAGGATACAACTTACCTCGAATTCCGAAAAATATTGTCCAAAGATGTAGCCTAAGAAAGAAAGCGAATATATTTGAAGCTTTTTTTGCGATTATACATTGAACCTACCAAAATACAGTTCCCATATGAATAAACGACAAAAATTCTTTTCAATAATTATCTTGATATTTGCAGGCAATTTTTGTACATCCATAAAATCTAAATTGTATGCATATTTCTTCCAGCTGGAA